TATACATTGATTTGAAATTGGATAGTTTAGGAGGTGTAAACATGAAAGAAATTTATGCAAGAGTATATACGCCTCTTATACTCGAGCATATATTCATGAACTTGTAACCTAGAAGAATTAAGACATATTATGTTTTATAATTTTCTTCATTCTGAGAGAAATCTGTTTCCTCTTTTCTTCTAGGGATATCAAGTGTGCCAATATATTGGTCGATGCGAGTGGTTCTGTGAAACTGGCAGATTTTGGATTGGCAAAGGTTTGTTCTTAGTCACAAATGATAACTGTTTCCTTTTGTTGTATTCGTTTTTGATGTCTATGAAGTATTTTCATGTGATTTTGCAGGCTACGAAACTAAATGACATAAAATCTTGCAAAGGAACACCGTTTTGGATGGCTCCAGAGGTATTTTCCGTTTTTCCAAATCTAGTACTATATGGGTATGCATAACAGTGGCTCCTTGCACCTATATACATACGTCTCTCAATTATATTTTTTGATCTTCCTCCTCCTGTTTGTATCAGATATGATGTTTGGATGAATTCTACATATGATAGTATATTGTTTTCATTCGTCAATTACTATGATAAATGAGTATCATTCAACATCCCTCTTCTGAAACAAAATGGTTGGGTGTTCATACTTCTAATGGTATCTTAGCACCAGAATAAAATTAATTTGCTTTGTTTTGGAATTCAAATGTGAAGTATAACTGTTGCCTGGGTTATTGAAGAATTTAATTATAATTTCTGATTCCTACTTGGACAACTTACATATTGCGAACTTTTCTCCTTGTGGAGAACTTTCATTTTCCCAGTTCAATTCTGCAGGAGAGGGAACACACTAACAATTTTTTTGGGTGTCTCATACATTTTTTATGCATAGCAAAAACCTTGAAGTTTCCATGACCTTAGAACTTTACATCCTGCAGGTCGTGAACCAAAGGAACGATGGCTATGGGCGTGCTGCTGACATATGGAGCCTTGGGTGCACTGTTTTGGAGATGTTAACTGGTCAAATCCCTTACTCACACTTGGAAGGGGTATGTACATCTGGAGCTGTTAGAAGTTA